CTCCCAGCGGGCATGGGAACTCCTCGGGATCCGCCAGGAAGAGCTTGAAGAAGTGGCTGGGGAGAGGGAAGTCTGGGCTTCCCTCCTAAAGCTGCTGCCCCCGCGACCCGACCCCGGATAAGCGGTGGAAAATGGATGGATGGATGGATGGACGTGGGCTTATGCGCATCTGAGCTCTTTAATATCAACCCTTGAATATTCACTGCATGTGGGTACAGAGAAATGGTGGCATCTTCCCTAACAACAAGCACATGGATGGAAATGTGACCTTTATAGAACAATCACTTCAGTGAGGCACAATGGATAGGGCCTGTGCAGTGTAAAATGATTTTAATCACTCATAGAGGGTTTTCTACTTATATCTTCATGGTAGATAAATAGTGTAACATCTCACCTGCTCCAAGCAAAGCTTGTCTGGTGGGAGCCTGTCCTTCTCCTGCTTGGAGCACATTGCCCATGTAGACCTCATTCACATCTTCAGGCTTTATTCCTAAATTAATACAATGGCATTTAGTGACATCAAAATCAATGTCTATGTATGACCAAAGCACAGGTTAAAGAAAATTAAAAGTCCTTTATAAACAGGTATACAAACTTGAAAACAACAGCTGCAACTGCTTTTCACAATTACGGAAAATGTATTTGATGCCAGGTTTATCAGTGGATCTGGTTAAAAATACATTAAGGAATCGGAGAAATGTGAAACTCTGTCAGCAACGTGTTGGGAATAAACTGTACCCGCTTGATCTATAGCTCCCTTTATGGCAACAGAGCCCAGTTTTGTAGCTGGGACCGCTGCCAGGCTGCCCTTGAAGGAGCCCATTGGAGTGCGGACTGAGCTGACAATGACCACTTCCTGAAACATCGCAACAAAATCTGCGTGAAGTGTACACTCCAAACAAGTACGAGGGACCTAAATATGCACGTTCCAAACTTACATTGAGAGATGGACGAGACGTGTAGGTTCTTGACAGGTATTTGTGAATCTAAAAAAGAGAACGGTGACGCATAAGACTCCAAACATGAATGAAAGTTAAAAATACAGTTGTTGAATTGGTGAAAACAGCTGAGCAAGGAAATACAGGACAATACATGTTAGCGCCCGTTTAAGTGGGCACAATTTAAACTCGCCTTGGCTTTACGTTATGTGTCACAATGTGAATGCCTCGGAGTAAAAAAAAACAATGACCGGCTGATAGCAATAAACAATTCACTTGAAAATCAATAAATTCATGTGGTAGGCGACCCGTGTCAATAATTTATGTTCACAATCAAGGACGAACGCAACCACAATGAAGTTAGCTAGTTAGCTTAGCCGCTAAATATGTACAACTGCAGAAGGCACGGACGGAAGGTAATGCAACATATGACAACAGGCAACCTTAACGGACTGTATTGCTGAACACACCCATGCTTACCAGGCGCTTGCATGTTCCGGCACGTATGGTTAAAAGTCCACTGGGTGACATTTTATAACCCGATGAGACACGTAGTCCACTTCACCTTCGTTTGGGCACTGACACCGGAGAGACTCATGCAGCCAATCACGTGGAGAGGCGTGTTCCTATGACGTAACCTAAAATTATTTCGTCGCGTTGTTAAAACGCAATTTCACCACCTTGAGGCTGAAACCGTTGTTGTTGTTGTTTTGAGTTTTGTTTTCAGAAGGCAGCCAACCCATGTAGTGCAAGAGTCGATTTTTTTTTCGTGGACAATGGTGTTTCTTAATGTCAAATATTTAATATTTAATACAGTCAAAAAAAGTTGAACAAAGGCTCAAACATCAACTGAGGCAAGACTGGGGCCCAACTTACTTTGTAAAGAAGTCAACTTTACGAAAACAAAACATAAACAGGAAACTCCAACAAAACGATTTTTTTTTGTTCCTTTCTTTTTTCTTTTTCGTCTCCCAAAACCAAACATTATTTACTTTGCTTTTCCTCATGTGGCAATGTTGAGGTAAAGAATCCATGACAGTGAAATATATATTTAAAGATGTATTTTGCGTTGTGAAAGAAAAATAATTTGATCAAATATATCTTGTCACTTACTCCCAAAGCTTTATTGAACATGACATAACACCGGTTCTACCATTACATAGCATTATTTTTGCCAACGTTGATAACTAATCAACTCATGAGATTATACTTTTCTAAGAAGCTAAATCCCCTATAAGCGATACTAGAAGTGGCATGAACCATCGAAAAATACTGGAATTCAATGCTCATAGATGGGAGACTTGGGTGACTGTTCAGTCACAATCCATCCAATCACTGCTCATCAGCGTGCGAACCGCTCTTCTTCTCAAATAATTGTATTGTGTCTGCCTGGATCCATACGAGAAGAACAGGTATCCTGCAAAATGTTGAGTCTCATTTAGACAACGTCGTGCTGCAGAAAGAAGAATCTCTGAAAAATGACCCACCTCTATACTCAAAAGCAGCATCAACTCTGTAGCCAATCCCGGGGAGCTCTGTGCGAATCAATCTGGGGTTCCGGCGATCCATTCTGCCTCTCCGTTCGTTATAGCTATAGATTCATAACAACAAACATTACAATCTGACTAATATAGTTGCAGACACTTCATTGCACTATAAAATGTACCTCTTTAAGTACGCCGCTGCAAAATACAACCGCACTATTCAACTAATTGCTGAAGCAGAATGTCTCTGATTTTGTCAATAAAAACACAACACAGTATAAATGTAATGTATATATACATATGCATACACACACACACACACACACACACACACACACACACACACACACACACACACACAGATTACTCACCTCCAGTATTTGTTGTTTACAAAAAAGAGAGTTCTTCCCACAAATGGAATGTGGACGGCGGCATCTACTTTGGTGACAGATGAAGGCAAGCCAAAGTCGCTGAGAGGTTTGGGAAAGCCCGGTAAGACGGTGTTTCTTTTGACTTGCCAGTAGTGGTCCCCTTTGTCATGAAAATGTCAAGTTAATAGGTTGTCAGTGTAGAAATATTTTTGAATATACAGGATCTGCTGTTTCATTTGATCCAACTCATTTGTACCTTCAATTAAAAAAACTGCGCCGCGTGGCCCATACTCATAAGCGGCATCGACTTTGTTGATGCCAGACCAGACAGAATTAATTGTCCTTGTGCTGACACCATCCCAGTTGCTGCTTCTCTTCCAAAAATGGCTTGAAAAGAAATAGAACATTTGAAATATAAGTAGATATTGATGACGCTTCTGGGTAAAAGTAAACATTTGTTTTATGAAGGGGGTGAAATGTAAATATACTTGTCTAACCTGCCTTTGAAAAAATAAAGATGGCGCTGTATGGAGGTTGCAGCATCAAACATGAGATTGCGGCTACACCTGTCTGGTTCTTGCGCAGGTCCGGGATCTGGTTCTTGCGTGGGTTCAGGTTCTGGTTCAGGCTGTGGTTCAGGCTCTGGTTCAGGTTCTGGCTGTGGTTTTGGTGCAGGCTTCATTGTTGGTTTAGTTGATGATCTGACTCCTAGAGAAATTCGATTTGTATTGCACCTTACAAGGTACCCAACACAAGGACGCGTATCTATATGCATTTGACACAAATGCAAATAAAAGAAAACAGCCTCACAGGGTGTATCGGTGGAGATGCGCGCAGTGGAGTGACAATTTGGCTACTCAGTAATAATAGTTAGTTTAGGCCCTCAAGTTGTCCAACTTAAAACAGCAGTCGTCAGTTCAACAGCAGCAGTCACTTGAGTTTGCCACTCTGACTTTGATGGAAATAGTGTTGTAAATATCTCTTGAGCCTCGGACAACATGCAAATACGCTCAAACACGAATGGCAGATACTCACTAGTTTTGCTAACTAGAGGCTAACTTGCTCTTGCTTTTGCTAGGATGACAGCCAACATGCTAGCCGGATGCAGCAACCAATCATATTTTAGCAGTTAGCAGTGAGTGTCCTACAGCTAATTATATTGCAATGGAGGGCTCCCTGCCTAGAACCTTAGTGGGATACAAAATAATGTGTCAGCGCATGACTATCACGCCACATTTAAAGTGAATGAGAGGAGCCGCTTTAATTGGTCAGGAGTGAATTTGGCTGTGATCACCCCCACCACAGCGCAGACAGCCCCTCTTTCTCTTAGATGCACCATCCTGCACTCATCTCCAAAATTGCCAATAGTGGTTCGAACCCATCGCCGTGCAGGAATTGGGCGGTTCACAAAATTAGAGCCCATTATATTATCCAGATGTACAGAATCTCACATTGTGGCATTATTTTAATCGCTGCCAAGAGGCCAAACTCTCACCATATAGTGCCTGCACTCCTTGGCGGTCATCTTCTGGTAGCACATAGCCTTCTGTGTTAATGTACCGGTAGGTGGGGAACATCAAGGCGGTTTGAACCTTAGAGTGGGATAACCCGAGTGCATGTCCAAACTCATGGGCCGCCACTAAGAACAGGTTGACTCCTGTGAACAAAATCAGTTAACATGGAAACATTGGCTACATGCTTAGCTTTGGCGGAGTATGATTTCCATTATAATGATTAATTGCGGGCGCACCTGATGAACTAAGAGTCCAGGTTTCATCTTCATCAAAATGAGTGTCACCTCCTCTGCCTCCACCAGGGGAAAAGGCATGAGCCAAGACTCCACCCTCCCCATCAAAGGGTGCAAAATCTCCATGATCTGGTTTTGCAAGAGACATCAAGTTAATATCCTATTCAAGTTTGTCCCAGGACGAGTGGGCACTTACCGTGAGCCTTGAACTTGATCATTATGTCCGCAGTGCCTGTTTGAATCTGCTTGAAATCCAAAGGAACAACGTCACTGTAGATCTGCAGGGCCTTGGCAAGTGTGGCATCCACGAAACTTTGACTCAAGTCCGGTGTATATTCAGTGATCCTAGTAACATTTAACACACACTTAATTAATTGTAAGCTTAACCAGCTGATTCAGTGGAGAACTATTGCAATGTGTTCCAATATAAAATTTCGAACCTGTATGTGACCACATTCTTGTCCCACTTGGGTTGCCCATCAAAGTGGGCATATTTGAATGTCGGTAAGTCTGTGAAACCGCAGCGAGGTTGTAACATCACTTCCATTGTGTCGCTGTCCAATTGACCTGTCACCTCCAGGCCAAAAAACTCTTGCATCATTTTGAGAGTGTCCGTGAAGGAATCAAGACCGCTGCGCCATTGTTCGCTACCAGTGGTGACGCCCACTTCAGAGAAATATTGAGAAAGGTAATCCTAGACAAAAGAAAACACATGAGGATTAAAAACTTGTAAATTACTTGTTGTTTGCTCAAATGTAGTGTGGGTTAGCCTTTTCAATCTTGAAAGGATGGACTGAATTTTTAGCTTTTTAGAGGTGTAAGAAATGTTTTCAAGTTATATAGATGAGTGGTTCGGAAAAGTTTGCAAACTGCTTTGAACCCTTAGCATTGGTCGCATCATCGGGAACAAAGTCTCCATTTCTAAACAAAAAGTGATGTACAGAATCTGAGGATACCATCACGTTTAATTCTCTCCATACTCTCAGGTTGAACTGATCAACAGTTACAGCGGTGTTTACCTGAGCTTTAGCGTGATCTTCTTCGCCGGTTAGGATGGTCGGCACAGCTCCGCTGAGAGCTACTGTCATCATCATCATTAACGCAACCTTGACAATTGATGGACGTTCCATGATTATTATCCTCCTGCACGTAAAGACTAAGTGCCTGCAAAAATTCTTCCTCCCGTGCTCTGCACACTCGTAAAGCCCTCGGTTAATTCCCGAGATAGTGTTTGGGATATGAGGTTAAGAGCAGAGAAAGATGCAAGACTGGGCAGTGAAACATTCCAGTGACTGTCTGAACAGGCCCCTTTGCAAAAGTATGAACGGTAACTCTGAATTAGATACACAAGTTTGTATCAATATTTGGAGAGACAACATTCTGAAGATGTGGCGAACTGCTTGATGAGCTTGTGTTTATGATATGAACATAAACGAGGGAAGTGTGTTTTGACACAAAGGGGTTTGCTTTGTAACTACCTTAACGTTTTCGAAAATTTGCTTTCTTGGATACCCATGTCTTGATTCTAATTTTGTGTATTTATTTATGTGAAACCAAACAAACGTGGCATTAGACATTTGGATTCTTCAGCACGAGTGGATTTTTCCCGTGAGCTGATTGCTGCGCATCATCGCCAGTCTGTTGACTGACTTGCATACTGTGTCTTGGTGGTGTTGTCACAATTACTTATTTTGTTTCAGTGCTAACTTTTCTTTGATTAGTTGAGCTGCGCTCCAATTGCTCTGAAGCAATGCGATACATTGCTTTAACGGCAGCGGCGGTAGGGGGAGCGGGGGTTTTGTCCAAAATTAGGTGACGTTTGAATTTGCAGCACTGTTGTAAATAAGGACCCCCCCCCCCGTACATCCTTTCGGGTCTCAGTCACTCAAAATTATTTCCAACATGTGACCCAAAAATGAAAACAGGAATACAAATCATACAAAATTTTATTCATAGAGTATATTAATGTAATACATTTGAAAATAGGTTTTATGAAACCATATATTTCAGTCATTCTATATACAAATGAGGTGCATCACAAAAGTTCCAGGACTGGTGTCACAAAAGCGATTTCAAATCCAAACTATGAGTTTTACCCTTTCAGTGTGGGCCAGGCGATCGACGAGCTCGTCTTCACTTATTATGGGAGAAGAAGCGAGAGTTATGGCTGGACAGCTACACCCGCTTCTCCATGAAAATACACCAGCTCGCAATGTCAAGGGAATCTGTCAGTTCCAAGCTCAGAAGAACATGGCTATGCTGGACCAACCGTCGTCCTCATGGTTCAATGTGATTTTTTTTTCCCTCTTTCCCAAGCTCAAAGGAGTCATCAGTGGGATCCATTTCGAATATGTTGATGACAGGCTAAGACGAGAGAGTTGCGGAGGATACCGGAAGAAGTCTTCAAGGAGTGTGTGCGAGTAATTTTATATGGTATAGCTTACCAGCATGACCCCTTTAACCACTCAACAATGCATTATGTGTATGTTTCCCCCACCCCTTTAGAAGTTCATGTAACAGACCTCCTTAGTAAAAAACAAGGAGAGAGCGTAGCTTTTCAGAGCTGTACCGAGACTGTAACTGTTAACACATCTCAGCTCCAGAGCTGGTCTGAGATCGTAATGGATTACACTCGGACGCTCTCCTCGTGAGAAAAGACAACTCTGCTTGACTCCTAGTCTCTCTTGTCTTGTGGCAGAGAAAGCTCGGAAAGTGTGTTAGACTCTGGGGGATTACTTTGAAGGGGGAAATTCATAGTTTGGATTATAAATATATCTTTAGTGACAACAATCCTGAAATATTTCTTACACACAAGTAGCTTACAAAAGAAATTTTGGGTCAAACTGGTCTAGAAGTTAGTGCAACGTAAGAAGTAGCTGTTTCTCAGTACACGGAACAATCTTCCTGTGGCCAAGTTGTACTCAAACATGTAAGGTCCACTGTAAATGTAGGTAAAACCTGGAAAACAGATTTAATGTTAGTTCATAAAATATTCTTCTCATTTTTAATTAAACTCTTCCATCCATCCAGGCAATCAATTTTTGTTGTTGTTGGTGGTGCGAACAGTTTGTTTGACTCACCTCTGTATTGGAAAGCCGCCGTCACTTTACTCAGACCAGAAAATGTCTCATCAATACGTTTGGGGAATCCAGAGTCCACACTCTTTTTGGCCTCATCAAAACTGGACAATATCATAAAGGGAAATTTTAAATCGAAGCTCAGGGTATAATATTTGTTGAAAAGAAAACGTCTGCTTGTTAATTACCTGTAGTAGTAACTGCCCACAAAAAACAGAGTCTTTCTTGATTCCACATCATAGAACGCTGCGTCAATTTTCCTCACACTTCTGGGCAGGCCGAATGTAGTGAGTGTTTGGGGATAGCCACGGACTAGATTGTAGCCAGCGAAAGCCCACACTTGCTGATCTACAGGTGGAAAAGATAATAATGGCTTGATTTGAATATTGACACAGGGTTGGGACTTTAAACAGGTTTCATAAAAAAATCAAATGTACCTTTGAAGATGTAGACTCTGTCGGCATGTTGGTTCTCGTAAGCGCCATCGATGTTGACTGGAGCACTGGGCCAAAAGTTGGTGATGCGACCCTGCTGAGGTGACCTGGCCTGCGGGAAGCTTCGCCACAAGAAACTGAAAGCACGCATTTATAAGTCATTTATAAGCAATATTCATAGTTTTCCAGTCTGTATTATTATCATTATCCAGTCATACCCTTCTTTAAAGAAAATCATTTCTCCTCGCAGGGTAGCCACAGCATCAAGCACCATGGTCGAGTCACAAGCATCAGGAGTTGTGGGTGGGGGAGGTCCTGGCTGAGTATCTGTGTTCGGGCCTGGAGGTAAAATAGTTTTGGAATTACCGTCTATGCTTGGGTGGTGGCGGGGAGTTGCATTTAAACAGCCTGTTGATACACACCATATAAAGTCTGGATGCCTTTGACATCATCCTGGGGCAGGACGAATGTGTCAGGATTTCTATACGAGTACGTGGGGTACATGAGGGCGCCTGGGTCATCAGAATGAGATAAGCCCAAGGAGTGACCAAACTCATGGGCTGCTACCATGAAAAGGACATATCCTGCAGCAAAAAACAAACAATGACATCATTCCAAAGCCCTATAATGCTTAGTGTATGGTATGCAAATACACCCGAATAACACACCAGAATTTGATCGGAAGGTAAAGGTCTCATCCTCGTCAAAGTGAGCATCTCCTCCGATGCCAGGGGATGGGGCGAAGGCGTGGGCCAGAGTTCCATCGGGGCCATCAAAGGGGTAATAATCACCATGTGCTGAGAATAACAATATGATCAAATCAGATTTGGCAAAGTCAAATCAATATATTGATCAGGTATCTCAATGGATCAGCTAATACGTGGAAATTATTCATCTTTCGGAACCATCTTCCAAGTTCCAATGAGCTGGCAGGATGTTTGCCCTTAAGCTCTGAAAACCTTCTTAACTTCAAGATGCGACATGCACTCACATGCCGCTGGTGTTGTCATGCAATCATGTTATCGGTGAGTGATTTGTTATGTAACAACTGCATAATTGGTCACTCAAAAATGTACTCCAGCTCAGCCAATGGCCTCTGTGAGTAAGTTGTTGAGCTAATTATTTATTGATTATACACATTTAAAAAATTATACAAATATATATATATCAGATTATAGTAATTAATTAGTTTTTTTTTTGTTTGGTGTTTTAAGATATTTTTGATAACAAACATACCGCAAACAAGTCACAACCAAAAGCCATTTAAAAAAATGCAATATACAGATAGATTTTTACTTACACTGGCGACCAAATGAAATCATGATGTCCGCTGTGCCGCTGTACATTCTCGTGAATTTAAGAGGAGTAACTTTGGCCCAAACGTTCAAGGCTTTTTCAATTGAATTGTCGACTTCTGAGCGTGACATGTCGGGGGTGTAGTTCTCGATTCTGCAGATCGGGAAAAATACCGAAAATTAACCTCATTCGTAGATAAACAAACAAACAAATAAAAATGTGTGTGTGTGTCATCCTAGTGAAAAACTATTTACCTGTATGTCAGACTTTTTTTCTGCCACTTGAGGTTGTTTCCAAAAGTGGAGAAATGGGCCAAGTTATTATCTGGCACGCCACAGCGGGGCTTCTTCATCATCGCCAAGGTGTCAGCATCCAGTGTTCCCGTGATTTGTAAACCAAAGAATCTCTGCATTTCACTCAGCCGCTTGCTGAGCTGACTGATCCCACGTCTGGAAGGTCCGCTTTCTTCCGTTAGGTTGAAGAATGACTTCAGGTAACCCTGCAAAAAAAAAAAAAAGCAAAATAGAGAAAAATATAATTGTGAATCAACAAGTTCAAGATGCCTAAAAACTACAATTCAGGTGCAAAGAATGGCCGACGTGAAAACATTTAAAAAGATAACAAATTCACCTCTGCCAAACTTTCATCTTGACGATTAATTTCTGCAACTGGAAGACAGTAAACTGCCAACGCCAGGGTCAGTACAATGCAAAGGCTGAAGGAGCTCATGTTTCCTCAGTGATTGTGTTGTGTTGCCCCTGCACTGGATGTGCTGTTATATAGGATCGGAGTTGGGGGGTGGGCGCGTTGAGCAACAGCGTTTCGTGAGTCAGTGATGAGTAAACAACAAGACTGGATTTGATTAGTCACCAAATAAAAACGATGAAGACTATGATGACATCAGCAACCGGAAAATTCTATTTACCGGATCTGCATTTATTTTTTTTTTAATTTTGGTAATAATTTTCCCTCAAATGCTCTCTTCAACATTCATTTAAAAGCAAGACGTGCCATCGGCATGCTGGGTCTTGTCATGTCCATTTTATGAGCTGAGCAACATTTTTCTGTCGTTATTTCCATGCTGGTGCTGGATCTAGGACAGAAAGTTAGCAGGAGGTCTAAAACGTTTCCTTATAGAGTGCAAATGTGCATAAAGCTGAATGATATGAGGTTCAGGGTTCAAATCCGGCTCCGGCCTTCCTGTGTGGAGTTTACATGTTCTCCTCGTGTCTGCGTGGGTTTTCTCCGGGTACTCTGGTTTCCTCCCACATTCCAAAAACATTCATGGCAGGTTGATTGGGCATCCAAATTGTCTCTGGGTGTGATTGTGAGCGCGAATGCTTGTTTGTCTGTGTGCGACCTGCCATTGGCTGGCAAGCAGTTCAGGGTGCCCCCCGCCTACTGCCCAATGACGGCTGATATAGGCTCCAGCACGCCCGCCAC